GTTTAAAGGTCATGCCCAGTCCAGGGGACATCCGTGGAGGAGACGCTGGAGGAGTGGGCGGCACGTTGGGAGAGGAGGTCAAGGAACTGGGAGTCCGGCCGGCCTGAGCTGCTATCCTGCTCTGGGCTCCATCCACAGAGACACAGCGGCCACTCTGTTTCCCACGGGGACAAGCAATCGGCAGGGTCTGGCACGGTTTGGATCTTCGCTGGGCCACCTGCCGGCAGGGTGACCTTGTACTAGTCTTTAACTTTCCTGAGCCTCAGCATCTCCATCTTTAAATTGGGATAATGGGCACTTGCCCAGCGGTCCCGTGGTTGGGACTCTGAGCTTCCACTGCACGGGGCACAGGTTCAGTCCCTGGTCAGGGAAATAAGATCCCATGTGCCATGTGGTGGGGCCAGATTTTTAAAAAAATGGGATGATAATATCCACCTCATAGGGTTGTTGGTTACATTGAATGAGGTAAAACGCCTATGTGTTGCTTGGCACAGAGAAAGAACGCGAGAAAGCCGAGTCCCCCGTTAACTATATTTAAAGATTGTTCTGCTGTACTTCCTCTCTTCTTGGTACATCTACCAGGAGAATGATCCTAACAGAAGTGCTTAATCCAGGGTGCGCTATACCCATCTGACCTCCTCTGAACTGAACTCATTACATCATGACTATTTCCAAATAACGTCACATCCACAGGGACCGGGGATTAGGACTTGGGTATAGTTTGGTGGGGAGGGGGACCATACAACCCATAACAGCATTCCCCCCAAAATAACAATAAAATACAAGAAAGGTGGACATAGATGATAAAATATTGGCAAAAATTGACTGTGGTCAAAGCTGAGGGTGGTTAACTGGGGGCTTGTTACACAAGTCTGTTCGTTTTTGTGTATGTTTGGAAAATTCCATAATAAGATTTTTGTAAAAAAAAATCATGCTTTCAATGAATATTTAATAAACTAGAAAATGTTGAGTGCAGAAGATAATATACAAAGCTAGACATATAATAGAAGCCTGTACAGAAGAAATGACTCTAAAATGCTCATGACTGTTTTCTCTGGGGAATATGAGGCTTGCTGTTTTCTTTCTTCTCTCTTTTTTGGGGCATTTAATTTTTTTGTATTTTCCAAAATTCCCACTCTGAGTATGGATTATTTGTATAACCACAAAATAATTTTATTTGAGCAAATCAAGCCATCCCTCTATGCATCTATTCACATGTCCATTCAACACACAGGCCTTTCTGGAGCCCCTAGAGCTGCCAGTGGAAAGGTCCCTGCCTCTCGGGGTGGTGACCCCGAGCCCTGGGGCAAATCTCCGGCATCACAGTGGATTCAAACCATTGCCATGGAGGCTGGAGAAGCAGAACCCTCTGTAGAATGTTTGAAGTTGTTAACGATTTGGGTAAAACCAATCCGGAGGCTGTCAGTGTTCCAGGAGGACAATGAGTAAGCCAGGGGACCAGGCTCCTTAATCAAGGCGGGAGATTCGGGCCGAACAAGCAGCTGGGAGCCCAGCAGGCACAATCAGGGACCTCTCCCCCGGCAGGGAGGCAGGGAGGGGCTGCTCGGCTCGGAGGGAGAGAGGGAGAGAGGGAGAGGCCTGCGAGCAGCACCAGAAGGAACAGCTGCCCAGCCGGAGGCTTCAGAGAGCAGCCTCGCTGTGAGTAGCAGACGCCCCCTCCCAGGGCCTGGTGGGGGTGCTCGGTGGTTAGGGACAGGCCTGGAGCCGGGCAGCCTGGGCCTCACTCCTGGATGCGACGAAAGCCACCAGCTCGTGCATCACCGGGGGCGACGTCCTCTCCCCCAGCATCCCGGCTTTCCCTTCTGGGAAGCGGAGCTGGCGGTGCGCACCTGTGTTGTGAGAAGAAAGAGCCATGTTTGGGTATTGCTCAAAACTCTGCTGCAGACACGCTGTCCCTCGGGTGTCCACGGGGATGGGGTCCAGGACCGCCCCTCTCCCCAGGAGCAAAATCCCTGGATGCTTGTGTCCCTTATCGAAAAGGCCTGTATTTGCACGCATGCTAAGTCATTTCAGTCGTGTCCAACTCTCTGCGATGCGATGGACTATAACCCTCCAGGCTCCTCTGTCTGTGGGATCCTCTAGGCAAGAACGCTGGAAGGGGTTGCCATTTCCTTCTCCAGGGGATCTTCCAGACCCAAGGATCGAACCCGCATCTCTTATGTCTTCTGCACTGGCAGGTGGGTTCTTTAGCCCTAGTACCACCTGGGAACCTAGCAAATCCTCCCACACACTTTAGATAGTCTCTGGACTCTTCGTGTACCTAATACAATGTAAGTGCTGTGTGCATAGCTGCCATTGTGCAGGCCAAATTCAAGTTTTGCTCTTTGAGAACTTTCAAGAGTTTTTTTTTTTTAATATTTTTGATCTATGGTTGGTTGAATCCATGGATGTGGAACCTGTGGATATGGAGGGCCAACCACAAAGGCTCAGCAAAGATGAAGATGGTGGTTATAAGGACCATGACAAAGAAACGATGATGGGGAAGATGAAGCCATGATGAAGGAGGACAGGGGAGGAAGTATTGAAGAATTAAAGGAGGATGAAGATGACGATGATGATAGAGCATGATAAAGATGGCGATGCAGATGGCGATGATGGTGATGAGAAGGAGAAATAGAAGGAGGGGGAGGAGTTTATGCCGGGGGCAGTAATCAGCAAGACCCCAGCCTTAGCCTTGCCTTCTCCGTTTGCATTCTGCCAGGGCAGACAGCTGGGCTGACCACCCAGGTGGGTAGACAGGTGGGTGATCTGCACTAGGTTTGCGGGGGGCAAGTATCTGAAGGCCCCTCACAGGAGATGCCGCTCCTTCAATCCTGGGCGGATTGATTAGGGGTGAGCTGAATTCTGACCGGGTTGAGTTAAAATGAAATACATTTTGGATTTCCATTGAGTTGGAGTTGGACTGAATTGAACTGAAATGAACTGCACTAAATTAAATGTGGGTTGAGTTGGCTGAAGTTGGGTTGGTGGAATTTGCCGAGATTTGAGCTTGGAATCTGAGAGCCTTCCAGTCTCAAGGGTCCCCCAGCAGCCCAGAGCTCAGTACCGTCTGGCTCGGTGGCCCTGGGAATGTTTGCAGCGCTGGGGACGTCCGTTCACAGCGTCACCACCCCCCCAGTGCTCTCTGCCTCCCATCTTCCGGGTGCCCTGGCGGTCAGGGATCCCCCACTTTTGACTGCCTGGAAGTGTATATGGGGATGTGTGTTTGTGTGGGCTTCTGTGGGTGTATGTCGTGGGGGGAGGGGGCATATAAGCACCCATCCCAAAGAGGGGCTGGGGCCCCCTTCTCTGCAGGAGGGGCTGCAGGCGTCAGGGACTCCAAAGTAGCCTGTCTGTGGTCCCCTGTTCACTCAAGGCTGGGGCTCCTCCAGCAAACCCTTTCAAAGGGTTGGTCCCTAGGAGTATGGTCAGGGCTCCTGATCCTCCCTCGAGGAACTCCAGAAGGGGCCCAGCTGAGTCCACTGCTGGGGGCCGTGGGGACCTCCCCACTTGGATGCCCCGTGGACAGGGGGATCGCTGCTTCTCGGAGCAAAACCTGGTTCTGTCACTCCCCTGCACCACTTCGAGTTTGGCTGTTAGGTGCCCGCAGAAGTCTCTGGCACTTTGCCAGCCCCACGTGTGTGGGGCTCTGACCCGGGCATCGGGAGGTGGGGGCTTGGGAGCCCCAGCCCTGACAGCTCTCTCCAGGGTGGCGTCTCGGGCCTGGTAGCTGCCCAGAGCCGAACAGGAGCTGGGTCTCACCTGGCTGCTCATCCAGCCCAGGGTGGGGGTGATAACGCCCTCCTCCCGGGAGGCTGGGGGCAGAGGCTGGGAAAGTGGGGAAGGCAGGGAAGCAGGCCAGGCAGGCAGGTCAGCCCCGGTAGGTTGAGATTCCTTGATGTTGGGGAGAGGGTACCCGCTTCCTGGCTTAGACTCCAACCCTGGCCCCTCCCGGAGACGGTGAGAGACCCAGGCTGCAGACAGAGCCAGCTTCTCTGCACCCAGGGCCTGTCTTTCAGTGCCCCGAGGCCAGGGGGGACCAGGGCTCAGCCAGCCCCTGGTCCTGGCTCTCTCCCCTCTTGCAGCCCGGCCCCCAACCCCAGGACTGCCCGGAGCCGCAAGGTCCTCTACAGAACCGGCGCTGAGTGCCGCTCCCGGTTGCCGTAGAAACAGAAAGCCTCTGAGGTTTGCAGCCTAGGTGATGCAGGCTCCTCCCCTCTCTGCCAGCTTCCAGGTCCCCACCCCCCACCCTCGGGGGCGGGGGCAGCACAGCTCTGGGCGATTTTATCTCCTTTCAGGTCACATCACTAATAAGCCCCTGGCACTGCCAGGAAGCCCACCAACAGATGAAGAAACAGGCCCAGAGAGGGAGAGCAGCCGGCCCGAGGCCACACAGCTCCCACGGGCAGGGCAGGGTCTGGCTCCAGGGCTGCCCTCCAGGCCGGCCTGGTTTCCCCCAAGGTCATGAATCAGGGGCCTCCCAGGGGGTTGGGAGGCTCCCACCCACACAAAGCCCCAGGTTGCGTGGTGTCTGGGGTGGAGGAGATGTCTGCACGGGTGAGAGTCCCACCCCAGGCCTGAGTCTTGGGCAAGCTCCCCTCAGCCTGTGCTGGGGGGCGAGGGCCCCCAAAGAGGGAGGAAGCGCTTCATCAGAGGACACGGCATGTGGAGGGCGGCAGAGCCGTCCTTGGGAAGCTGCACTGGTGAATACAGGACGTTTGTCAAAACCCCAGGGTTCAGACCACGGGGAGGGAGCCTGCCGTAAACCCTGTAGTGACAAGGTATCCCAAGCAGCTTGTCCAGGGTCCTGGCCACATGGCACCCCTGCCAGATGGGGCCTGTCAGGGGAGTTGGGGGGCGGGTATGGAGACTCCGGGCCTTCCACCCATTGCTTCTGTCAACCTGAAATCCCTCGAAACTGTCAAGTCCATTGGTTAAAAAGATTAAAAAAAAAAAGGAAGAAGAGAGTGGGGACCAGCCTGGGGTCAGGGAGGCAGCACTTCAGCTGGGAGGGGGTGGTCCTGGGATCCGTCCCTGCCCCCTGGGACTCGTGGCCCCGGTCATCTGGGGGCAGCACGAGGTTGCCCCCAGTGCTGTGACAGGTGGCCAGGTGGCCGCAGCCGCCTTCCAGAACGTTCTGGGTGGTCTCCAGAGGCCCCGTCTGGCTCCACTGGCCAGGAGAGGGGGAGGGTGGGGAGCGGTCAGACCCAGGGTGGGGGCCTGTGCAGTAGTCGGGGGGGGGGGCGCTCAGTGGACTTCAAAGACCCGGCCCAGTTCTTCGGGCACCAATCATTTGTTGTGTCCGTGTGACGTCAGCCAAGATCTGATGGGGAGGCCACCGTGCCAGCCCCCAGGGAGACGGGCTAGTCTGAGCTCCTGGGAACATGGGCTTCACCGGGGCGGGGGGCAGCGGGCCGGGCCCCCTGTGTCGGCAGGCAGAACCCCAGAGGGTGCTTCATCCACCCGCCTCCTGGAATCTTCCAGCCAGAGCTGCCCCAGGCCTTTGCACAGAGCTGGAAACCCACTGAGGCCCTCGGAAGACGGGGACTGCATTTTGCTGTAATCTGCAGCTCTCTCGATTTTATTTTATTTGCTCTTCCCTGTAATTATCCCATCGGTGGGTGAAAATAAGCCTCGACAAGGAGACAGCCTCCCAGAAGGAGGCGTGATGTGGGAGCCCCGGGGGGCAGGCAGAGGGGGTGCGGTGCTTTCAACCTGCCTGGCCTCCTCTCCCCTCTGGGGGCTGGACGGCGGGGGCAGGGTGCCCCTGCAGGCACTGGTCATTCGGGCTTGTCCACCACTGTGGCTGCTTAGCACAGAAATCCCAGGTCCCAGGAACCCCATCCTGGGTGAATGGGGCGGTTGGACGTCCTTTGCACAAACTCCTGAGGGTCTCTGGGACCACACCCCGAGGTCGGCTTCTCCTGGGGCCCCACCTCACCTCCATCCTTGGGGCTTCTCTCCCAACGCCCTTTGTTCACCCCAGGCCTTGGGCTTCTCCTCCTTCCTCCCTCGGAAAGCCCACCCAGATCCGCCCCCCAGTTCCATACATGTCTCCCCCACAGAGCTCCAGACCCCAACTTTCAGCTGATGGCCAAGCAGTCAGGCTGCTGAAGAGCAGATGGGTTACACGCGAGACCTCGGTCTCCCGTTCTGTGAAATGGGAATGGCTGCGACTCTGCTTGTGGGGCCTGCAAGGGCTTCAGCGATGAGTGAACTCAGGGCTTCGACCCAGTGCTCATCCCATCAGTTAGCCACAGGCACCCCTGATAGTGGGTCCCGGAATTCCCGAAGCCAGGGCGGGGATCTGCACGTTACAGACAAGAGGCCCGAAGCTCAGAGAAATGAAACAACTTGGGAAGACCCAGCCGGTCAGGGCCCATGGCCAAACCCACACCGCCCTGCAGGGACGTCAAGGCCGCCCGCCCCCCTCCACCTGGCTTCCTCCTGTGGGTGGAGGTGTGAGGTCGTCCTGGACCGGCCTCTGGGGCTAATTCTACGTTTCGGCTCTCAGAAACATCTCCTAACTCAGCCAACAGCAGAAACAGGGAGAAGGCCATGCATCCGAGACAGCTTATTCACAGGGGAGCTGTCTCTGTTATTTAGCTCTGAAACAAGGAACTCCGCTTTGGGGGAAATAAGAATTATTTTCCCCCTTTCCCGCCTGGACTCTGAATCGCTGGGGGTGTGAGACTAGCTGCTGGCCATTATTTCTGCTCCCACGGGAGGCACCCCCCCACCCGGAGCGTTTAAACCTCTTGGCCTGCTCTGTGGCTGCCCTGTGGGACCCCCACCCACCTGGCCGCTCCTCCTCCTTGGGGGCCTGTCTTTGGAGTAAGAGCGTTTAGCATCTTCACAGGGTTCTTAGCAGAGGAGGGGGTTCCCTTTCCCTCCCCGTGGGGACGTTCGGCCAAGTCTGCTGACCCTTTCGGTTGTCACAGCTCTGGAGTGGGGAAGCCTGGTGTGAATGGTCCTGTCTCGTCGGGGCCCTGAGGCAGGGACCCCTCTGGGTCAGGGAGCAGGAAGGGGAATGCTGGGCGGGGGAGTATTCACCCATCTCCCCTCACTCCAACTTATCAAGAGTTGGATAAGACTCTTGAGAGTCCCTTAGACTGCAAGGAGATCCAACCAGTCCATCTTGAAGGAAATCAGTCCTGAGTGTTCATTGGAAGGACTGGTGCTGAAGCTGAAGCTGAAGCTCCAATACTTTGGCAACCTGATGTGAAGAGCTGATTGATTGGAAAAGACCCTGGTGCTGGGAAAGACTGAAGGAGGTAGGAGAAGGGGACGCGGCAGAGGAGGAGATGTTGGATGGCGTCACTGACTCGATGGACATGAGTTTGAGCAAGCTCCAGGAGTTGGTGATGGACAGGGAGGCCTGGCGTGCTGCAGTCCATGGGGTCTCAGAGTCGGACACGACTGAGCGACTGAACTGAACTGACTGGGAACAGTGTGGGGGAGCCTGGGGAATGGGGGTGCAAGAAGCCGGGAGGAGAAGGCAGGCGCACCCCGAATGGGGATGGTCTGGTGAAGCCCCGGCTTCCCTGTTAGACGGGGCTTCCCTGTTAGATACGGTCCAACGGCCGTGTCTCCTGGAGGCTCTGGACCTTCCTTGACGAGAAGGCACTCTGGTGGTGGGAACTTGGCTGGTTTGGAAAGGCTGTGTGCTTGCAAAGAGTCGGACACGACTGGCTGATTGAGCCGCAGACCCCGACTCTGCCCCCTGTGTCGGTGTCTATTCCTGCTCCCCGAACACAGGGACGCTGCCGCCCAGGGTGACCTGCCATGTCCGGGGGCTGGGGGAGGGTGGGGAGTCACTTCCTGGCCCACCCAGCTCAGCCAGACCCCTTTGGGCTGCCTCTGGCCAGGCCGCTGGGTCCTAGTGGAAGGACAGCAGGCCACCCCGGGCTGGGTCTGCTCCCCACTCGGGACCCCTGAGCCCCGCCCAGGGGATGAGTCATGGAAGCCGCTGGCCCTGGGGCCCTGGGCTGCAGCCAGGCCCTGTGGCCATGATGGATTGGGAAGACAAAGATAACACTTTGTAAGATAATTTTCTTTTCTTTCTTCTTTTTTTTTCCCCAAAGAAATGAAAGAAACCTGTGGTTTGCAAATCTGCTGACCCAGCAGGAGGCTTCCGTTGAACCACCAGGGGCCAGAAGAGCCCTGAGCCAGGGAGGACACCTCCTGGCGGATTCCAGCCTGTGTCGGGGAGAAAGTGGGTCACGGCTGGCTGGTCGAGGTTGATCGGTTGGAGGGCCCCTGGGCACAGGGCGTGGGGTGGGGAGCAGAGAGACGTGCCCCCTCCCCAGGAGGGTGTCCCTGGGTCTCCTCCTCACGTCCGTCTGTCCATCTCCTGGTGCCGCGAGGCCAGGCTCTGCAGTCCTGCCTCCGGGCCCTCGGCTTCCTCACCGGAGGCTCCCGCCCGCCCGGGAAGGAGGTGAACACGCCCAGGAGCAGGGCATCACTGGGAGGGAGCGTGTGACAGATTTCAGCGCCAGGTGGCCCCCCCGTGACTCTGCAGGAGGACACGACACCCGGAGTTGATGGTCACCGCGTGCTCGTCCTTCCCGCCCTAACTTCTGGAAGCATCCCACGCTCATCCGGTGATGAGAGGCGAGGGGGCCTCCCGGTTGAGGCGGGGGCTTCCCTAGTGGCTCAGATGGTAAAGAATCCACCTGTAATGTGGGCAGGCCCTGGTTCGATCCCTGGGTTGGGAAGATCCCCTGGAGAAGGGAAAGGCTACCCACTCCAGTATTCTGGCCTGGAGAATCCCATGGCCTGTACAGTCCGGTCCATTGGGTTGTAAAGAGTCGGACATGACCGAGCGACTTTGGCTTCGCTGCCCCCTGTCCCGGCTTCTTCTCGCTTTCTCTTTTCCGCCCACCCCCCGCCCCCCCGCCCACCCCTTCCCCGGGGCAGTGAACCACGCATCCGCGGGGCTCCGGCCGTCCTGCACCACCTCCCCTGGACACACCAAGGCTCTGCCTCTCTTCCCCAGCGCTGACCAGGGCCTGGGTGTCCATCTGCCTCCCGGGTGTCCCTCGGAGCCTCAGCTGAGGCACCAGACAGGCCCCATCCTCCTCCTCACTCATCGTGCGGGGAGTCCAAAGGCTCCGGGGCCCAGACTCTGGAACCTTCCAAAGAGGCCAGGAGGGGGGTGGGGGGCAGAGGCCAGGGCTGAGGAGGAGGAGGGGAGCCCGCAGGGCTGTGAGGCAGGCGACCGGGGGTCCCAGGTGGTGGGCTGAGCGCCGGCCGAGGGAGGCGGCTCTGGGCCGGATGTGTGGCCCTCACGTGTGAACTGTGTGGGCGACTGCCCCCGGAAAGCCGCGGTTTCAGGAGCCCCAGGTGGGGGAGGCGCGCGGAAGGCACTCACCGCACAGACACTGTCACTAACTGTTGGCCGTATTTTCTGAGAACTCTTGAAGCTGGATGCTTGCGCACCAGGCGGCTGGCTTGAGTCCGGGCCCTGCCCCCCAGACCCCCCTGCCTTGCTCTGCGGGGCCTGGCTGGCCGTGTGTACGTCCAACTGCTCCTTGCTGTGTGGCGAGAAGCTTTCAAACTCTTGGGAACCTGTAGCCGCCCCACCTCTCCCCTTCCGCCGGGGCAGGGGGCTGGTGACGGGGAAAGTTGTGGTCTGGGTGCCTCAGCCCAGAGTTCATCTCCCCCCCTAGGTCACGCCTTGGGGAGGGCAAGGGGTGGAGAGGAGGCTGGGTGGGAGCGGCCTCTGCTGGGCCTGGACGGGCCTGTGGACCAGTCTTTCCCCTACCCCGGGACTGGGTTTTCCCTCCTTCACGACAGGACCAACCATCTCTGGATTCCTACACGGTCGAGGTGGGTGGTGGACCAACCCGCGCTTAAAGGATTGAGGCCCACAGGGCTCCTCTCGGGAGGGACACCCTGCCAGCCCCATCCCCGCTCCAGGCCGCTGAGGGTCCTGGAGACTGAAACCCCCCCTTCCCCCCCAGTTCTTCATCATCACCTGCTCCCCGGTCCTTCTGCGGACACGCAGTTCAGCAAGCTGCAGGTGCCGCCCTGGAGCCCCTGACCAGCTCTGATGGGGCTTCTAGTGGCTTCTCTGTGCTGGGTCATGAGGAGCCCGGAGGTGGGACCCATGGCCTCGACACAGCGGGAGGGGCGGTGCCGCGCTGGGGACCTCAGCGGGGCTGGTGGTCACCCTCTGGCTGTCCTGGGGGCCTTTCAGCCCCTTTTGGGCCCAGTTCACATGTGGTAGATTGGGAGGTCATGTCTCCCAACGTCGTTCTCGTATATTCATGGTGCTCGGATTATTCAGGCATCCCCCAGAGGTGAGGCTACAACCTTCCACCTCAGGCTTTTGCCTGTTTTTTTTTTTTTTCTTTAAAGATTATCTTTATCTTTCTCCTATCCATTCACTATCTGCAAACCATACACCATTTCATCCACATACCCACCCACCCACCCATTCATGCATGCATCCACCCATCCACCTATGCATCCATCCATCCACCCACAATCTACAACCCATATACCACTGTATTCACTTACCCACCCATCTGTTCATCTATCCACACACCATCCATCCATCCATTCATCCATCCATCCACCTGTCCACCATCCATCCACCTGTCACGCGAGTGTATGCTCCTTGGTTCTTTGTCTCGTCACAACAAAAATTTGGAGTGACGGACATTAAAGCCCCTTGGTGGGTCACAGCTCTCGGAGGACAGACCGTGTTATAGCTCTCAGGTCTCGAACTGACTGTGTTATAGCTCTTAAATAAATCAGTGTTACAGCTCAGTGTTACAGCTCTATTTATTTAGATAATAGCAGGAAAATCCATCTTTGAGGTGTGAGGGCAGGTTGATACAAAGACGCGAAGAGAAGATCGCCCCATCTCTCGGGGGAGAGAGAGGGAGCAAAAAAAGGAGAGAAGAGGGCTTTGGCTCCTATTTTTATATGTTTCTCTGTCCCTGGGCCTGTCTTATGTAAATTGGGCTTAGGCAGGAGCGTTGTTGGTTTTACCTGAGGTTCTCACTCCGGTCCTCGGACCTTCCTTTGTTCTATTTTCACGGGCTTTCCCTTCCAGGTCTTTTAGCCACTGCCATTTTGGACTCTTTTTCCCTATTCTAACTACCTAACACATCCATCCACCCACAACACATGTATCATTCTCTCCACTTCCCCACTCCTCCTTCCATCCATCCATCTATTCACCCATCCCACCATCTGTCCATCCAACCACCCATTGTCTCCAAGGCATTCGTTTGCTGTGTGTGCATTCACCAGCCAGTTCCTCAGCCTTACTCCCCTCTCCCATTCTTCCTCTGGCAGACGCACAACTTCTCACCATCCAGCCCCTCACCATCTGCACTCACCTGTCTACCCGTCTGCCCGTCCACCCACCCATTCATCCGTGTAGATCCTCTGAACACCTACTTTCTCCATCCCAGGCCTTGTGGGTCCCAGGCACTCTGACATTCTCCAGGCTGCCTGTATTTAATATTAGATCAAAGCATCCGACCTGCTTACCACATCTTATGCTTTGAGGATTCTGATCAATGTCCAGATGTTTAGAGAGCAGCCTTATCGTGTACGTATGAAGCGGAATTTCCAGCACAGGCTGGAAGGGTGTGTCCATTCCCCTGATGGAATCAGCTACTGTGGGGGAAGGGAAATGTACCACTCTAGAATCTAGAATGGAAATGGAATTTATCAGGGAGAGAGCCCAAAGTGGGCTGTTTCGTGGCACATGCGAGATTTGCTGCTTCTGTCCTAGGGCTTTTCTGTGCTGTTTATTTAGCAACAGTGTTGAGGCCCTGCTTGCCCCGGAGTGGGGCTGGGGGTGATGATTCGGTAGGAACAATACGGTCACGGCCGCTCCATCATGCGCCTTGAGAGGAGGGCTCCTGACCCACTGACCACAGTGCCGTCTAGGAGGCATGTTGTGCCCCGAGGGACCCAGAGGAGCATGCAAAGAGGGCCCTTCCCTACTGTCTCCCCAGATGTGGAGGCAATTTTGGGGGAGCAGGAGGTGAGAGGGGCTTGCATTTATTGGGGAGGGCTCACTGGTGGGGAGGGCAGTGCAGAGCTGCTGGCCTGGAGTGAGTGCGGGGCTGGGGGGACGCAGGAAGGGCTGCAGCCTCATGCACTACCCCGGGAGGTGGGGGAGGGGCATCCCCTGCCCCGTGTTTTGCCCAGGAACCTAGGAGCCGCCAGAGTCAAGCTCTGAAGACCCCTAGGGGCGGGGGGCCACCGATGACCTCCTCCAAGGGAAAGAGACCCAGCTGCGTCCTCAGCCGCCTTGACCTGAATCTCTGCTCAACCGAGGTCCCGCCCCAGGGTTTGCATAATTATTATCTCCTAACCTAATTACAGAACTTCCTGCTAATTGAGGGTGCTCTTGAGGGCAGTCTGCAGCCCCTCCTTCACGTGGATGCTGGAGGAAGAGGCAGAGGGTATTGCTTGGAAGTCAGACCCGCCGCCTTCCATCTTTGCGTTGCTGCTTCAAGCTGTGTGACCTTGGGTGTGTGGCTTAACTTCTCTGAGTCTCGTTTCAGGGACCCTAAAATGGGGGTAGGGATGCTATCTACCTTGAAAGTGTAGAAGAGTGGATGAGAGAAAGTGGATGACAGAAAGTTTCTGCCCCAGCCGCATTCCTGGCCTGGAAGAGGGTCTCCGGGGGGGGTGCCTCTCCCCTCCCCCCTTCCCCCCTTCCCCTCCCGCTCCCCTCCCTCTCCCCACCCTTCCCCTCTCCCCTAGTCGCTGTGCACAGATCTCCCAGAACACTTTACCGGCTGGAAACGGCTGGGACTCCTGTATTCTTGTATGAAAGTCTTAAATCTAGGCTAAGACAATTAGGATAATGCTGCAGATGAGTTGTGAGAAATCAGTCTGGCTGCAGTGCGGGTAAAGAGAGCCAGCCGTCCACCTGCCTGCCGACCTGTTTTGCGACGGAAACAGGACAACTTCACCCTGATTTGATGGCTTATTTACTCAGCAAACCCCTGCTTCCAGGCCAGCCCTGTGGGGCAGCGGTCCAGGCTCACAAGGAGAGGGGGTGATGCAGGGCCTGCAAGGCTCCCCCCGGGTCTGGGCAGAGGGCCGCGGGCCTCAGGCCGCTTTGTCACCCTGATGCCCCGCTCTCCCAGGCCCTAGCTGGCCCATCGTGTCCTGGGGGGCCACCAGCCTGTCCCCCGATGGCTCCCCTGCCCCCGTGTCTCAGGGGCTGGGACACTGCGGGGGCCTCACCCTGCTGACCCGGCCCTTCGGCCACGAGCTCCCCCAAACCTCCTTGGCAGGAGCGTCTGCCGGGCCCAGACAGCCCTCCTAGGAGGAGGTCGCTCCTCTGTAGCCCCGCGTCTTGCACTGTCTTCCCCAGGCTTTGGAGGGTCCCTTGCGTCACCCCCACTAGGCTCTGCCTGGGACAGACCCAGGATTCCAAACCCTTCATGACACGGACGGATGGACGGATGGCTGACTCTCCCACGAAACACTCCACGTGCCAGCTGCCGTTCCAGAAGTTTCCACGTGTGTTAG